TGATTGAAAGTTTTGCTGGGTATAGTAATCTGGGGTGTCATCCATGGTCTCTTAGAGTCTGCAAGACATCTGTCCAGGCCCTTCTGGCTTTTAGAGTCTGCATTGAGAGATAGGATGTAATTCTAATAGGTCTGCCTTTATATGTTACTTGGCCTCTTTCCCTTGCAGCTTTTAATATTCTTTTTTTTTTTTTTGTATGTTTAGTGTTTTAATTTTTATGTGGTTTGGGGACTTGCTTTTCTGGTTCAATCTACTTTGGCATTCTGTAAGTTTTATGTACCTTTATAGGCAGCTCCTTCTTTAGGTTAGGAAAATTTTCTTCTTTATTTTCTTGAAAATATTTTCTGGACCTTTGGGCTGAGAATCTTCTTTTATTCCTATTATTCCTATATTGAGTCTTGTCATAGTGTCCTAGTTCCTAGATGTTTTGTGTCAGAAATTTTTTTAGATTAACATTTTCTTTGACCACTGTGTCAATTTCTTCTATTGTATCTTCAATGCCTGAGATTCTCTCTTTCATCTCTTGTATTCTGTTGGTGATACTTGTTTCTGTAGTTCCTGTTCACTTACCTAGATTTTTCCATCTACAGGATTCCCTCAGTTTGTGTTTTCTTTCTTTATTTTTTTTTCTATTTCCCTTTTTCAGATCTTGAGCAATTTTATTATCTTCACCTGTTTGATTTTTTTCCTGGATTTCTCTAAGGGATTTAGTCACTTCCTTCCATTGTTTGTGTTTTCCTGGATTTCTCTAAGGGATTTATTCATTTCCTCTTTAAGGACCTCTATTGTTTTAATGAAGTTGGTTTTAAGACCATTTTCTTGTGCTTCAGCTGTGTTGGAACATTTAGGGCTTGCTGCAGTAGAATAGCTGAGCTCTGGTGGAGACATGTTGTCCTGGCTATTGTTGATTGTGTTCTTAAGCTGGCCTCTAGGCATCTGGGTTTGGAATGGATATAAGTATAGGTGTCGATTTCTGAGTTTCTTTTTGTTGGATGTGTGTTTTGCTCCTGGGTGTTTGTTTCCTCTTTGGTCTTCTAGTCTCTGTGGTCTGTATTTCTGGTGGCTGCTGTGACCTCTGGTCCAGAAGGGAATCTCTGTCAGAGTTGGGGGCTGGAATTCTAGCAGTTATCCTGGCCTTTGATCCAGCAAGAGGTCTGTGTTCTTCTGACTAGCATGGCCTACACTTCATGTCCCTCTGCTGTTTAGGAGCAGACAAAATGGTAGCTGTGTTTCGGGGAGAGCAGCAGCAAGGATGGGGTGGGGGGGGTGGTACTGACTTCCAAATATTTGTACTAGGGACAGGAACCTGACTCTACCTGACTACAAGAAAACAACTGAAGTAATGCTAGCAAGGCAGTGCTTTGGGGCAAGTGACTGGGATTTCCCCTCAGCATCTATTTCCCTTCTGTCTTTATTTTCAGCCACTGTTCACTCAGAACTTACACTCTCCTTTTTACTAATCACAAAAATATAAAAATAAAATTACATGATGAACAGGTTCTAAGTAAATACTCAATCTAGTTGAATGTATCAAATTTCCTCTTTGTTAATTCTTTCCCTCCTTTTAAGTTCTGAACGTCTGTCCCCACTTGTCTTCCACAGCCCTTGGAGTTATAGAAGCCATGAGGCTCCCCTTAGTTGACACAAGAGGCTGACATAGCAGAACCCAGGTCCCAGGCTTATGTCTGAATCCTCCCACTGACTGCTCACAGGGCCTCCACTCCCTATTACATGAAGCTGACAAACCTGCCTGCCTTAAACCACTAGTAACTAACATCGGGATTCATTTGCATTGACGACTTTGAGAAATGGTTGCTGTTGAACTGGCATTGCCTGGAGCTAAGTTCCAGGCCATATTCTTAAATGATACACACTCTTCTTAAATGATTGACTACTAAATCTGTTTCTAGAAGTCTCTGAACTTACAGAACTTTTAATAAATTCTCCAGTAGACATCACCACTTAGGTGTCCCCTGGCTCCTCAACTTGCCCAAAACAGAATGCAAGGTCTCTTCCCAAACTTGTTCATCCCCAACATACTTCTACCAGTAAATGGCACTGTCATAGTTACAGTTTCAATTGCTATGAAGAGACACCGTGATCACAGCACCTTTTATAAAGGAAAACATTTAATTTGAGTGGCTTACAGTTTCAGAGGTTTAGTTCATTATCATCATGGCAGGACATGGTAGCATGCAGGCAGACATGGTGCTGGAGAAGGAGCTGAGAGTTCTACATCTTGACCCCACAGGCAACAGAAAGTAAACTGTGTCACTGGGTGTAGCTTGAGCGTAGGAGACCTCAAAGCCCACCCCCCACAATGACACACTACATCCAACTAGGCCACACTTACTCCAACAAAGCCATACCTCTTAATAGTGTCACTCCCTTTGGGGTCATTTCCTTTCAAACCACCACAGGCACCTGGAGACCCAGAAGTCACAGTGCCTCTCCTTCCTTCCCTCCAACATACCAGCCTACCTTGTCCTCTAGTCATCCCAACTGCTGGCCCTCCTCTGAGACATTTCTACACAGTTCCTTTGTCTCCAATCATGCCCCCTCCACCTGTTTCTCTTCCTTGCAGTCACCACAGTCGTTCTTATATGTAGATAGAGTCAGAGTTCTTCTCGACCAGGCAGTGGTGGCTCACACCTTTGATCCCAGCAGAGGCTGCTGAATCTCTGTGAGTTTGATGCTAGCCTGATCTACAGAGAGAGTTCCAGGAGAGTCAGGGCTACACAGAGAAACTCTACCGTGAAAAACAAAACAAGACAAAAAAAAAAAAAAAAAGATTGTGTTTTTATTGCGTAATAGTAAGCAATAAGGTATTGTGAACCTTCATTGGAAAATGTGTTGTTTAGTAAGTTGTGGGAAAGTAAAAATGAATTAGGAAGCACTTTTTTAGTTTGGTTTTGTCTGTTTTGTTTTGTTTTTTATTTGGCAAGGCCAGCTTTGTTTAGAAAAAAAAATCTGAAACCATGGGTAGCTGAAAAATGGCCCATTCCTGTGGACTTCCACAGGTCTCAATGTCTAAGTGTCAAAAGGCAGGCACATCTAGAGTCCTAGGATTTTGAGAAAACAGAGGAAGTTAAAATCAATTACCAAAGCCTGGGGATTATGGCCATTCACCACTTAGGCCCAGGATGCTGTATAATTCTATTGCTCTGGAAATGTATTTTAGGCTTCTTCGCGTCTGATAATGAAGTAAAAACCTTGTATGAATCCCCTGCTGTTGAAAATGGACACTGATTTGTGTCTAGGAAGATTTAACTGTCGGTTTCTTCAACCTACTGTTAAGAACAGCATGCTTTGAGCCAATGAGGTGCCACCAATCTGTTTCCATAGTGATAAAGAAACAAACCCTCTGGGCCTCTCCCTAAAGCAAACCACACAAGTCATGCTCAAAGGACTGGGTAGAAAATGACTTTTTCCTCAAGGGTGCCTTTATCTGTAATACCTGGGGACAACTGAGCTGTCTTCTAAGGGGAGCTCCTGGCATGCCTGCTCAACCCTTCTGAAAGCCATTGGCTGGATGTGCAGTTTTTAGGGCAGGCCCGTGGATTTCTGCTTTGGCATCTCAACTGCTTGGGGGTATGTGCTGAATCCATGAGGTCTGAAAAACTTTGATTTGGTGTAAAATGAATCCTAATTTTGTGCTGATGGGGTCTGGCTTTCCCTAAAATGTTATGCTTTCTTTAAGACTCTCAACTTGGGAAGGAACCACAGGGAAACAAATCTTTGAAAATCTTGGAAAGAATTGAGGTAAGATCATGGGAAGGTCATAAACAACCATTAAGGACCATTAAGCTCTGTGGCTTACAGCCAGCCCTTCCAGCCTGAGGGAAACACTGGGGAGAAAATACAGGAAAGGAAAAGAAGGGGACACACACACACACACACACACACACACACACACACACACACACACACACACACACACACACACACACACACACACACACACACACACACACACCAGTAAATGGCCTTTACTACAAGGCTCTGAATGTGCTCCACAGCGCCTTGCTTGCCCAGGTTCCTCCCCTGACACGCTCAGCCCTACCTCATGATTTGCTAACAGCCCTCATCTGTTCTAATGGCTCATTGGCTTTGTATTGCTGGTTTTAAATGCTTTGAATATGGTCCCAGGGGATACAAAGGGAACTTTTTTAAAAAAGCAGATTAATAAACATCAAGTCACTTTTAGAGTGAGGAAACGGAAACAAACATTTATCAAAACAAAACTGGTTAAAACATACATAAGTGCATTCGTTAAAATTTACAGTTGTGGGCCAAGAGAAATGGCAAAGTGTTTAGGGTGCTTGCTACCGTAGCAGGAATTCTAGTTGTTATTAAAAATAAAAATCCAGAGACAGATATTGGTGTTTAAGCTGAAGATCAGAGAAGAAAAGCATCCAGTCACTAGAGAGCTCTCACCTCTACCAATGCTCAGATTGAAGGGGCGATCATGGAACCTCAGCCTGCCCCTGACTCATTGCTCCTCAGACTCCTGTCTCCTCCCACCTTACATTCCTCTCTAGTGCTGGGATTAAAGGCGAGGGATCCAAAGTGCTGAGATCTCCTTTGTGTGAGCTCTGTTTCTCTTTTAGTCTGGATCTATTTGTTCAGGATGACCTTGAACTAACAGATATCTGTCTGCCTCTGTCTCTCAAGTGCTGGGATTAAAGGTGTGTACCACCACTGCCTGCCTCTATGGCTATGTAGTGTGGCTAGCTTTGAACTCTGATCTTCAGGCAAGCTTTATTTGTTCGATCATAAACAAAATATCACCACATGCAGCTTTGCCAGAAAACCCTAATTTGATGCCAATCAACCACAACCTACATCAGCTCAACCTCCACCCTTGTTCCTCAGGCTGCCCTTTGATCCTTCCCAATCTCTGTTTGCCTTTATTCTAAGTGGTTTAACTCTTTGTGGTTGTTTTCTCATCTCAGCAAGAGCCCCTGACCTAGCAACCAAGACTGTGTCTGACCCCGACCATGTACCCCAATCCTCTCATCTACTGCACCTGCTTGGACCCCTGGAACTTGGGGCCACGGAAGCTAATCAAGACCCCTCAACCACTTCCAAAGACCTCCACAGGGAAGCCTAAGTAAGAATAAACTGGGTTGGGCTAGGTACAGGAAGTGACTGTTTCTTTTGTAGTCCTCTATGTCTTATAAGAGTCCCCAGTTGAGAACTTGCCACAAATTCCCCACAGAACAGGAAGCATTGCTTTCCTGCCTTCCCAACCACCCTGGAGGCTGCCCTGATCTTTCAGGCCTGTCTTACTCAACATTTCAATAAAGAGGGCTTGACTTTGCAACTTTGCAATTTGTGTGTGTGTGTGTGTGTGTGTGTGTGTGTGTGTCCTAAACAGAGCTTTGGTGGTAGCTGTCCCTCCTCAGGAACGACGGCTTGCCCTGACAACCAGGAAATTTCTTTTTTTTTTTTTTTAATTTGTTTTTCATTTTTACCCCAGTTCCCCCTCCCTCCCTTCCTCCAATCCTACCCGCCTGCCTCCCCCAACCAGGAGTCCTTGGAAATAGTGGACAACTACAAGTAGGAGAGCCTTGGACCTGAGGTCTTCAAAGTCTCAAATCTTCACAATCCCAGTTGTCATATCATACTTTCGAATTTGGAGTCACTGTGGATATGCCCTTACTGGGGAGGGTTGAGACGTATTTTTTAATTTCCAGTGTTTGTTTGTTTATTGCTTTCAGGCAAACTCTTCCTTCACCAGTTTCAAGAGAACGCAACTACCTCCTGTCCCAATCAACAAAGCCTGCTGTATCCCCAAAGTAAGTACTTTTAGCTCCGTGAGGCAAAGGATAAAATAATCTACCACCACACAAGGAATGAACTCACCCTGAGAGCTCCAGAGTGTATCTCTTCCCACATCCATTTTGGATTTCTCCATCACTGAGGCCCTGTACCAGCAGCTTCCCCAGCTACCCAGGGGTCACATACACATGGAACCACCACACCCATGCTGACTTGAGCTAATTTGCTACCAGGGATGTCAAAAATTTGCCAGAATCCATTGATTTTTTCCCCAAACCAAATGCCTGGTGATTTCAGCTCAAAGGAGGTGAAGAAAGCAATGAATGGCAGAAAGCATAGCCCGAAGAGGTTCCAGTCCCCATCCCTGGAGAGTGGAAAGACAGAGCAATGGGGTGGAGGATGGAGAATGTCAGGTAGCTAATCTGAGATGTAGAAGTTCCTTTACCTGTATTCTCCAAGTGGGGCCAATGCAATTATGAAAAAGAATGGCACTCAGAGAGATGTGACCACTGTGAAAGACGGCCACTAGGGAAACGGAAGCCTCTATAAGCTGGCAAAAGCAAGGAGCTCCAGGGTGTAGCCCCACCCACATCCATTTAAGACTTCGCCCTCACTGAGGCCCTGTACCAACATACTCCCCAGCTACCAGGGTTCTGGATGGTCAAGTAACTGACCTAGGAGAACAAAGGCCAGAGGTGGCAGCCTCAGGGATCATCTCCTGAGCTCGGCCTCTCAGCTGCCCCTGCCCCATGGCTTTCTGAGCACCTTTCTCTTGCAGAGACAAAGCCCCGACAGTAAAACCAGAGGAGAGCAGCAAACCTCCTGCTGTGAGTAAAAGTGGGCAAAGGGCCAGATGAGCATTTACCTAGCACCTACTGTGTGCAAGCATGGAGTTTTTTTACATACTCTTAACTGAGAGTCTAGGAGCAATCCTCCTAGCATTAATGGTGCATGTTTGTTTTTGTTTTTGTTTTGGGGTTTTTTTTGTTTGTTTGTTTGGTTGGTTTTTTTTTTTTTTTTTTTTTTTTTTTTTTTGAGATAGGAAGTCTCTGTTTGGAGGCTGTCCTGGAACTAGCTGTTGTAGACCAGGCTGGTCTCGAACTCACAGAGATCCACCTGCCTCTGCCTCTGCTTTCCGAGTGCTGGGATTAAAGGCGTGCGCCACCAACGCCCGGCTAATGGTGCACGTTTTAAGTAGTCGATAAGTGTCCACACTGTAACTAACCTCAACTATTCTCCCCTGCTTTGTGTAGATGGGGGGCAAAGGGGGGGATAGATGGTGGCCATTCAGGCTACAACTCATACAGGAAGCCCTCTGCCATACAGGGAAGCCACAAATCCTGAGGCAAGGCCCGTCAAAACACCTAAAGACAACAAAGGCACTGACATGGGCCTCAGAATATGAGTCTCCATGGCTCTGACATAGGTGTGAGATCAGGTTATATCTATGTTTTAGAAAATGCACTTTCTCATAGGATATTCTGACCACTTTTTATTTTATCATTTCATCCGTTCCTCCCCTTCCTAAGCAAGGACCATGAAGTAGTTAAAGGGCGTTAATGGTCAGGAACAAAGTAAGCAAAGAGAAGCACAATCACCCTGTTAGGTGGAAAGGTCTCAAACTTTGGGAGCACAAGAATGAAAGCAGAGCCCAGCTGGTACAGCATCTTAAGAATCTAAGCACAAGATGCTGGGCCCTTGATCCATGATGGGTCAGACTTAAAGGAAGGTGAGGCAGAAATGCCAGTTAGGAGATGGCCACAATGGCCTGGGTCACTTGTAGTGCTGTAGAGTGGTCTGCACATGTCTAGAAGCTATGACTGTATTCACATTAGCCAATGACTCTGCCAGGATTCTGTCTTGGCAGCTAATGAAGGGAGGAGGATTAGCTCACTGCATTTGTCTGCACCCATGCTAATCATCTCCTTGCGTGTTATTTTGTTGTTTTTCCTTCTTACAAAAGCCCTTTGAAGACCTTATATTTACCATTTTTCTGAAGAGGAAACTGAGTCACAGAAATGTGAAATAGCTCGAGGGCCAGATATTTAAAAAATTGGCCTGCCCAATTCCAAAAGTGGAGCAGTTCCCATAATGCCCAGCTACTGGCCACAGTGGAGGAACAGGAGGAGGAACAGAGTGGGGTCGATTGATCAGTTGGCGCTGCTGAGTTTAAGTGGTTCCTGTAGGGTGGGCAAGTGAGTGTTTGGATTGGATCTGAGAGATTTGAGGGTAGTGGCACGGGAGGATCTCGGGCCCCAGAATCTCAGCACAGTGTCCCTGTACATTCGATGTGAGGAAGCCCACAGTAGGTGGAGGGCTCTCAGCTCCTCAAGGCTCACAATTTCTCTTTGCCTTCCACCTTGAGACCCAGGAAGTGATTGATGTGTCACCTGGCTATAAACTCATTCGAAATCGAGAACAGATTTCTGTCACCTTGGGAGATGAGATGTTCAATAGGAAAAAGCAAGGGGAATCAGACATCTTGAGCAAAATCAAGTTTTCCAGGTAAAGTCTTTGGTTCAACACCAGTTTCTCAGAGCTGGCTCTGCCCAGCTAGTCTGCCCAGCCTGGCTCCAGTAAATACCTGCTATCCATGTCCAACTGACAGGTCCCTGCCCAGAAATAGCCCAGCTAGCATGACTTACACTAAAGAGGAAAGTGCTCCTTCCAGGAAGGGACAGGTGAAGTTGTCACAGATAGTTTGGATTCTGAGTGTAGGGATAAGAGCAAAGCCAGTTTCTGGAAGACAGGAATATGCGTTTTTTTTTCCATGATAAGTAATCCAAAAATGCCCATGACTCTGGGAGATGCAGTTTGGAAGGTTCCAACCTGGCCCATCCTGTTAAGCACCCACCATTGCTCTTTCTCTGAAGTCCCACCTGTTTTACTACCATCTGATGTCATTCTCATGCTCATACCCATACATTTCAATTCTACCTCCTAGACCTCTCATTCACGCCTTCTATTTCTCCACTCTCCTACCTAAATCTAGGCCTCTCACTCCTTACCACATTACCAGATGGCTCTCCCAGTGTCTCCTCCTCCCAGCTTTAGTCTGCTGTAAGAACTACTGTTCTGAAGGCACAGTGGCACACACTCTGAATACCAGTGCTGTGTGGAGAGGCAGGTTGTGGAGGCATGGCTAGATAGATCTAGTGGGAGACCAGCCTGATCTACATAGTAAGTTCCAGGACAGCCAGGGCTGTGTATAGAGAGATCCTATATCAAAAACAAAAAGCAAACAAGAAAAAGCAGCTGTTGTTGCAAAGGATCTGGGGAGATGTTCAAGTTATCAAGTTAGTTTCAGTCTCCAGCATCCGTGGAAGAAGCTGGGAATGGTGACTCACGCCCATGATCCTAGCACTGAAAGACAGGAGGACAATCCCTGGGGTTTACTAGCCAGCTGAACTAGTTGAAACATGAGCTCTAAGTTCAGTCAGAAAGCCTGTCTCATAAAAGAATGTGGAAAGCAACAGAGGAAGACACTTAATATTGAACCCTGGCCTCCATGTGTACCCATGTTCATGTGCAGGAACACACACTCAAATATACCATACATAAACACACACACATACAGTCACCCATCTGTTGCTACATAGAAAGGCAACATCTGAATTGTTGGCAGTTATTACCTCTGGGAAGGGTTATGGACGAGGCCATGCCATGGAAGTCATAGAGTTACTGATCTCAGCTGGCTCAGACAAGCCAGAGTCATATCCCCAACTTCCCATCCAGTCAGGGGCAGGGTAGGGTGGGGAGGGGATCCAGCCTCTATTTTCTCTTCCCTGCTCAACTCTCCATCCTCTGCAGGGAGACAACGGGTCAGATGCCTGTAGTCTGAGTAGTATTCATAGCAACCTCTTGGTCTCAAAAGGAAGCTGCCCTCATTTGCAGTAGAATGAAACCCATCATGTTCATTTTGTTCCCAGCTAAAGCTGTGAATGTTGTTCACAGCAAAGACCACACTTAAAAGACAAAGATTTGCTACTTTTCAGCTTCCTCCTCCCCCAGCTCCCTCCTCTTCTACATCCTTTTTCTTGTTTTCACACCTGACATCATGTCTCTACGCCAAGAGAGGAATGCAGGACACCAAGAAAATGAAGCTTCTTGAGAACTCCCGCCCAGCACCACTGCAGTGTTCCATCACCACACACACACACACACACACACACACACACACACACACAGGGTGTGGTGGACAACCCTGTCTTGGGAAAAAAATTGGGAAATACTATAAGGCTGTGTGACCCAGGCTGGACACAAACTCCTATCCTCCTGTCCTTGAGTGCTGGGATTGCAGACATGACAGGTGCCTCACACACTTCCTCATTTAAGCCTCCTCTTGGTCTCATCCATGGCCATTCCTTGTCTCCAGTTGGCTGTCAGAATTCTTCCCAGGCTCCCCCATTTCCAAATCCTCTGAACTCTCCCTCTTGTGTTCAACTAGTGGCAACCAAAGTCCGGTAAGTGTCCGCCACACTCTTATTTCTCTTCTGCTCAACAGAACACCACACTGCCCTGAGCACTTCCAGCTACCTCACCTTAAGGACCAGACACAAGGTTCAGCCACCCCACTATGAAATGCCTTATTCAGGTCCAGCCTCCACCGCTGCATCCCCATGCCAAAGTGGCAGAGCAGGCGCTCTGCAGACCTGAGTTAGGCAGCCTGGGACCTGGCTGGCATGTGGTGACAGAAGTGTTTGTCTCACAGGACTGACATCATTTCTGACCTTGAGGAGCAGATCTCCGAGCTGACAGCAATAATAGAACAAATGAACAGAGACCACCAGTCTGCCCAGAAATTGGTGAGTGATCCTTGCATTAACCACATCCTCAGAACTAATACTTTCAGAACATCTATGCGCCAGGCAAACACTTTGCTGTAGTGAGCCATGCTATTCAGATGCAGGACTTTGCAAAGAGGACTGTGTACTGGGTGATATTTCTCTGCCTGCACCCTCACCCATAACTGTGAACTGTAACTCAAAGACATTCCATTCCAGAGGCTCTCCAGGTGCCTCCGGGTATGTGGTGACACTATCTTCTCCTCCAGGAGGATCACTAATTACTCTCACTCTGGCCTTTGCCATAAGATACAAGCATCAGAGGTTACCAGACTATTGCTAATGACTCCAGCACGGAACATGTCTCTGGTGTGGTGCAAAAGCTTCTAGGAACCCCCCCCCCCCCGCCGTGTCCAGTCTCTATTACTACTAAGCTCTCATTGCCCATTCTTCAGAAGCAGCTCGAGTCCTTTCATTGTCTAATGTGTTTTTTGTTTTGTTTTGTTTTTGTTTTTGTTTTAACAGTTGGCATTTTTAACGTTTTGGTCATTGGTTCAGGCTTGATGCCTTCTTCCCCAGCTCAGGCAGGTGTACCTGGTGACCAGGGCAGGAATGACAGACCAGAGTCATGTTCAGGAACATGCCTCCCCCTGAGGCTCTGCCTCCCCTGAGGCACCCCTTCCCCGGAGGCTCCGCCTCTCTACCTTCCCATAGCAGCCTCTCAAGCTGATTTGTCCCAGGCCATCCGCATCTTACAGTGAACTGCCTTGTGACCAGGCTGAGACTTTTGCCACCTCTGATTTGTTACCTTGTTATGCTACTGGTTTGATGTCTTCCTCTTCTTCAAAAGGGAAACTGAAGTTTGAGAAACTTACGTCTCCTGTGTAAGGAGGTCGGGCTTCAGGCAAATTCACATTTGACTCCCTGGCACAGGCCCTATGGAAGGCAGCTTTAGAGACTGTCTTTATTGGGGGTGTCCTGAAAATATTCCTACTGTGAACATCCCGTTAGTAGTGAGACCTTTGAAAGGTCTCAGTGTGACTTCAGGATGACAGTGAGATGGTGGTTAGGGATAAGACATTTTTAGAAGAGTCATTACCACGAACAGACAGACAACAGCAGGCAGAGACTGAGGAGTTTACACCCCGTTGCCTCAGCGCACTGGGACTCAGAAGAAGAGCCTGGATGTCCCACAGTGTGGAGGAGATAGTTCTTCTCAAAGGAGCCTGTGGCCAAGATAGCCGACTCCCCAGCTGGGGGCAAGGAGGACGGTGAGGAGGGAATGCGTGGCCACAGGTAACCCTGTAATATGTCTGCAGTCTGATGATTGGTTCTTTTTACTCTTCTAGCCAAGTCTGTTGCTAAATAAGTGATTCCCAAGAGTGAAAGAATCCAAAGGAAGCAGACCCACCCTCAAAGTGTGTGCCCTCTGCACTGCAGAGCCCACCCAGCAGAGACTGAGGCAGACATCACCTCTGAAGGGAGGGGCGTCAGAGATGTAGATTAGAGCCCCCTGGAGCCCTGCATGCGATGTTGTTAACACTGGCCCCATTTCCAGCTCTCCGACGAGATGGAACTCCGCTGCACTGAGATGAAACAGAAGTTTGAAAATGAGACCAGGTAGGCTTCCTGGCAAAGGCCCATGTGCAAAGCAGTGGCAGGATTCCAGTTCCCTGGGGCTCCCAGTGGGACCAAGGGCAGCTGGCTATGGTGTGTGAGAGGTGTCCTCAGAGAGCAGGGTGGCTCTGTTGGAGGTCACTAAGATGAAACAGTTTATGCTTTGTGTTCCTGCTTTTGTATCATTCATCCTTTCCATTTCCATTGTAGTATTTCTTTTGATCCGTTGCGGAGAAAAGCCATTTTTTTGTTGTTGTTGTTTTCCACGAAGCTTTGTCATACATGATTTGTTGTGAGCACATTCTCCCTTCCCCCCCTCCTCTGTTCCTCCTCCTTCTTCCCTCCACCCACTCTCCCCCTCTAGCTCAGGGCCTGGGCAACAAAGAAAGAAATGGGGGAGAGGAATAGAACAAGTCCACGGGAGTGAGAAGGAAGTGTGCTGTCTGTGTGCGGGGAGAATCTTGAAGGCATGCAGGCTTCCTGGCGGAGAGACAGCACCTCTTGCTGCGTCATCCACAGCCACTTATTTATAATTACTTCTGATTGTTTTTTAGAACATTTTTTAGGTTCTTGATAAGAGAGTCTGAACTCCCATGCTTATTGCACACTGTGCACAATCGCCTCATTATAGAACCAACCTGTGTCCTGTCAACAGATGAGATTTTAAAATGCTATCTAGTCTGCCCCCAAAGAGAAGGAAATCCTCTCATTTGTGATGACAGAGATGGAAGGGAAGGACAAAGGCAGATTAATGTGTTTTCACTTATATTTGAAGTCTAAACCTCACAGAAAAAAACATAGATAAATGGTTACTTAGACTAGCCCCTGAGAGGTGATGATCAAAGTGTACAGAATTTGGGACAGTGTTTCCAACAGGCCTAGTGACCTGGATTGAATCTCCAAGACCCACATGATAGAAGAAGACAGAGTCCTCAAGTTAACCTCTAGCCTCTATGCATGCATGTACAGTACACACACACACACACACACACACACACACACACCCTCCCTCAATGAGGTGGGACCCTCACTTTCTGGAGTATTCTCCTGGCTTCTATCCAGTGAGACATTTCCTACAGTCACTGCTTTGAACAGAGCTTTGGCAAGGGCCTCGGCTTCCCCTCAGCAGTCACCAGTTGCTGCTTACATGCACTTACAGAAGCCCTGAGAACAAGTATAGAAGCCCAGATCCAGCCCGGTGCCAGCATTCATGTGCTGATAGTGTTTTCGTATCAAAGTGAGAGCCTCCACACCATAAATCAGATGGAAGAAACAAACATATATCACTAAAGGAAAAAAAGGCTATCTGCAAAGACCACAAAGACCACATGCTATATTATTCCAACATTAAGCAAGAAAAAAACTGTGGAGACAATAAAAACAGCCAGTGGTTTCTAGGCATTGCCTTGGGAAGGGGTGGGAGGGGTCAGCAGGTGGAGCATAGTAAGATAGTAAAACCACTATGGACAACGCTCTCACAGTGGATGCCTGTCCACACACATCTCCCAAACACAAAGAATGTTCTGGACCAGGAATGACCCCCCAAGCAGGTGACAATGAAGTGTCAATGCCGGTTCATCAGTTGTGACAAACGTAACATCTTTCAGGGACACTGAGAAGGAGGGAGGCTGTAGGATGGGGCATAAGAGGAGTGTGGGCACCCTGCGCCTTTCCAGTAATTTTGCTCTAAACTTTAAACTGTTAAAAATAATGAAAAAATATGTCAATGCATATGTAAAATGCTGTGGCTCATATAGGGGTGCTGTCTCTACTAGGATTTCTGTTTTTGCTATAAATGATGATTTATATTCCAGATACTTATGGAGTAAAAACATGCTGTTCTAATTTGTGAATACAATGTGTAATAATTAAACTGCTCTAGTTGGCACAGCCATCAACTCAATCAATTTTTTTGTCGGTGAGAATATTTGAAATCCACTTTTTTTTCTTTTTAAAAAAAGTTTGATTTTGATTCTCAATTTTGCTTATATGTGTGTATCTCTGTGTGGGTTTGTATATGTGAGAGTAGGGCCTGTAGAAGCCAGAAAGCGTTGGATCCCCTGGAACTGGAGTGACAGCGCACTTGGTCGCAGTGTTCTGTGGATCGCAGAAGACCATTTTTCTAAGTCAGTACTTTCCTTTCACCATGGCTTCTGTGGCAAAGCACCTTTACCTACTGAGCCAGCTTGCTGACTCTGGACTTCTTTTCACTGATTGTCCTACAGGGATCTCAAAAAGGCTCACAAAGTGGAGCTTGAGAAGTTAGAGAGCAGCTATAAAGAAGCGCTGAAGTCGGAGAAAGCTTCTGCCCAGGAGAAACTAGGTAAAGCCTAGGAAAGGTGGTTAGTCCAGGCTCCATGGCCATGGGTTGGCATAGCCGGACATCTAAGATTTCCTCTTTGAAGCTCAGGGGAATGAGAGTGACTAAGAATGGCACTTGCTTTTTTTTCTGAAAAATCTGCTTTTATATGTGATGTGAGAATGTGAAATATTTTAAGTGCATTTTGAAGTTCTAAAATTACTATATCATTATGATTTCTTCAGGTTTTCTCACATGTAAAATGGCAGTGTTTTATTACATCCTAATTGACATTGTGATTGCAAGGCTCTGTAGCACATAGGGCTCTACTGGGTAAGCCTCACTGCTTACACTGCCCTTGGGAAGAGCAGTGTGCATCCTTCAGATACTGGCTTTACAGACTTATGCCCACAGAGAGGAGAAACTCTAAACTATAGAGTCTATAGTCCTTTATTTTAAGTTAGTGTCTTATTTATACTTTGCTTGTTTTCCAGTTTCCTAAAGAGAATATGTGGTTTTCAGAACCATTGTAAAGGGACAAGTGTTACTAAAAGGAGAAGCAGGTGCATGCTGGGAGGAGAGGCAGGTGCATGCTGGGAGGAGAAGCAGGTGCATGCTGGGAAGTGCTGTTCCTTCTTCCCACAGACAAGCATGTACTTCCGAGGGTTCTTACTAAAATGGTTGAGCAGAGCAGGTGAGTGTCGATATCACTGAGAAGCATATGTGTCAAGGAGCGCCAGGCCCCACCTCCAGATGCTCTGCATTAGTTGGCTCGGGCAGGATCCAACATCTGGGTTTTTAATAAGCTTCCAGAGTGACTGGGGAGTCATAGGAAGATTTCATCACCTTGGGAGGACCTCGAGTGTGGTGCTGAGTAGTTCACATGAGATTTGGAAAGTGTGCCTGTCAGAAATAGTGATGCCCTTGTTTTCTTTCCATTCAGATGGAATGAGCAAAGAATATAAGTATCTGAAGAATATGTTTCACATGTATCAGGTGAGATTCAGAGTTGTCTGATAGATTCTGAGAGGATGAGAAGCAAGGCTCATCTCTGATTGACAACATGTAGAGATTCTAACATCTTTCCACCACAGTGTCACTACTGTACCCAGCAGGAAGCATGAACCAGAGGCTTCCATGCTTGACAGACCAACCGTGCAAATCTGAAGAGGTCTATTGAAAAAAACTGTTTGTGGTCATCAAAGTAATAGCTGTTGACGGTTTTTCAAAAAGGAAATGGGGGGAGGAGAGAAGGGCTAGAGAGATAGCTTAGCAGTTAAGAGCACTGGTTGCTCTTCCAGAGGACCCTAGATTCAGTACCTACATGGTAGCTCAAAACTATCTCTAACTGCAGTTCCAATGCCCTCCCTCTTCTGGCTTCCTCAGGCACCAGGCATACACACAATGCACAGACATAGGTGCAGTCAAAACACTTATCCACATAAAACAAGTAAGTGTCTCCCCCCACACACACAGTGGAAATAACCAACAACAGCAACACCTAAAAGAAAGAATTGTCACTCACCAGAGGTGACCCCTGCAAATACCTGTGCTTTGCTTTAACTTTCACTGAGACTATGGCATAGCGAATCTATGTACATTTTTGTATCTTTTCACTGGGCATATTAGTGCCTCTCCTTCCTTTTTCATGACTGCCCATCCTAATGAACATGCCTTCGGCATCTCTCTGTCCCCTTCCTGTTGACCATGTGCTGTTTCGGTCACTTGCTGTGATGGAAAATAGCACTTTGAACACAGTTGATCCTAGCAGTGGAGTACTAGTCATGCTAGTCAAAGGAATGAACAGATTTAAGGCCTTTCACGGATTTGGTCACGTTGCTATCCAAAAAGTCTGTCGCATTCTACACAGTCCATGAACTCAACGCTGGAGTTATTTCAGAACATAGCCCATTCCTTTCATCCCTGAGCTGGTTGGCTTTTTGTCAGCGTGACACAAACAGGAGGAGGGAGCCTCATTTGAGAAATTGCTTCCATCGCCTGTGGACAAGTCTGTGGGCATTTTCTTGATTAATAACTCTTGTGGGTGAGCTCAGCCCACTGTGAGTGGGGCCACCTCTGGACAAGTGGGCCTGGGGTGTATGTAGAAGCAGGCTAGGCAAGCCATGGAGCCAGCCAGTAAGCAGCACTTCTCCATGGTCTTTGTATCGGTTCCTGCCTTGAGATCCTGCCCTGACTTCACTCAGTGATGGAATAGAATGTAGGAGTATAAACTAAATAAACCCTTTCCTGCCCAAGTTGCTTTTGATCTGTCTGTTGTCACAGCAATGGAAAACAAAATAGGACAATTCCCCAGACTTGATCAAGTTCCAGAGTTGGAGCTAGCTCTCTTACAGGAAAATGCAGAATCGGATGTGATCTCTGAAACAGAGAGCCTTTCCTGTCTTCAAAGGAAGTTGAGATCCAGCTTGGCAAACGCTGTTTGAAGTTTGTAGATAGCCCTTTGACCCTTGAGCTTATCCTAGTTCCCCACTGAGCTTAGCTGGGGCTGGAGAGATGGCTCAGCTGTTAAAGGGTAGGCTCATAACCAGAAACATAAAAGTTTAGCCGGAATTGTTTTTAAGTATCACCCACATAGGGGCCCCTTGGTGATGCCCAGTTGAAGGGAGAGCAAGGTCCCAGTGCTCTGCTGAGTGCCCAAGGGTGCTGTCAAAGCATCTGCAGTGCCCACCCCCATGTTATAGCTCTTTTCAAAGTGCCTCTGTGCCCCCACAGGATAGCGTTTATGATGAAATGGAAGATACATGGTCCAGGCGGAAGGCAGAATGGGAGAAGGATGAGAAGATGGAGCGAGAAAAGATTCTGTTGCAACAAAGTGAGTAACACAGAAACTACTGGCCTTTTCAACCATAACAAGAGTGTCAAACACAAAAACAAACAAAACCTGCTGTCAATCTTGACCTTGACTTGAGGGAAGGGGCCCTGGATTTACCAAGGGTGAAAGGCCAGATGATGAACTTTCTGAATGAACGGTGCCTTGCATTGCTAAGAAACAAAGGACACCGAGGGCAAGACTTGTTTTGTTGTTGCTGTTGTTGTCTGTTTAGTTGGTTTTTGTTTTTGTTTTTTTTTTCATTTCAGACACATTATTAATGAAGGGATCCAAAACTTACATGTTCAACCATCATGGGTTGGAACAAATATGGGAACTGGGACCTATAAAGAATGTGGAATCTAAAATCCAAGGAGGAATTCTAGAATTAGAATTTAAATTATTCAGCTGAGGGGGAGAACAGGGCGGGGAAAGGGGTGGGGACAACACAAGTCTGTTATACTGACAGCCTCCATGTCCCCCACATACCCCACAATAGAAGCCATGATTGGTAAGTATTTTCAATATTTCTAATACTTGGCTAGAGCTTAGATCAAAATGCCATACAGATGCAGTTCTCACTCACTGAGCTTCCTAGGAAAGGAAGAAGGAAGGGGTAGAAATTGTCCGGGGGGGGGGGGGGGGGGGGGGGGGGGGGGGTGGGGGGGGGGGGGGGCG